GAATAGTGTGGTACTATGACTCCTGTATCATTTAGTTTGACACAACAGTAAGATACTGCTTTTATATTTCTAGCTGTATTTGCAATGAAATAGGTAATAAATACATTGAATCTTCAGCAATTTTTGGATTGCTGCTTCCATCTGTAGACCTGGGGATACATCATTCTTTCAGCTATTCATACACAGGTACCTATGCTTTATACAAAACAATGAGAATTTTAAAACAACTTTGGAACATAAGTTTGGAGGCTGAGATTCTTAGTGATTTCCAGGCAAACTGTATGAAGCTGGAGTTTAAACAGAAATCAAGAACAAACTCTCCAAAAAGAACCAAGGATAACTCGGTTCCTTTTTTCTTCCAAAGTACTGTTTTGGTTTGGTTTTTTAAAAATATTTTATTGAAGGCACATTTCTGTCTGGTGTTCATACAACTGTGGAAAAGAGAACTGGAAGCAAAACGGTTGATGCTTTATTCAAGATATCTTTAAATCAGAGACAGAAAAAAAAATTAAATCAGATCTTCATAAAAAGTACATTTCACCTATCTGTTGAATGGAACCTGTACGATTCACACCTGAAAAACAAACCCGTCAGGAGCACCTACAAAGTATTAGAATTTATGTGTGCAAATGTGTGGGTGAAGTTTGAAAAAATACAAGTGAGTCAGGAATTGACTGCACAGCACATCAGTTCTGCTAAGTGTAGGCAGAGTCTCTGTTTTCATGTAACAATCCAGTACTCTCCTGTCAGAGACATACCCTGTCCCCAGACTGCTGCACAAGAGGAGCCAACACAGATCACACATGCAAATGTTTCACCACAGTGGAAACTTGTATGTGACATGAATGATGCAGAGGTTGACTGAAACAGGCACCAAAACATTCATTTAGAAACACTTTGTTTAAGCACTTTAGCATTATCTCCTGTCACACGAGAACAGCAGACACTCAGATAAGGCCATCTGTCCATCAGGTAAGTACTTCATAAATGAAAGGTATGGTAATAACAGTAGCTAAGAGATTAAGTCACAGACCAAATCTTTATGAGGCTTGATCAGTAGCAATTCTTAATATGAGAATAAAGCAGGCTATCTATATGTGTAGAACATTGCTGGAAACATAATGCTACTGTATTTTCATAAGGTGCTTTGTACATTAAGGTTTTTATCCTGCATCCTAAAGAGATGCCAGGGAAGAAGAATCAAAATAAAATGAGCATAGGCAAGTGATGGTAATTAAAAATAAAAATGAAACAAACTCTTTACTCCACCATTAAAACTAAAAACCAAGATCAGAACAACAAAATAGAACAATTAAGCCAGAATGTAGATGGTCTATCTTGCAGCAGAGTGATAAAGGAGATGGTCACAACGCTTTTTTATATTAGTTAATACATAATTTTTAAAAATCTCTAGAGCAACATTCCTCCGGTATTCACAGCTTTGTGCTGAGTCTGCAACCTCAATGTGCTCCAAGTCTCTCATTCGCAACTTTTAACATCTAAAAGCTAGGCACGATTTCTCTCTAGCAATTTGGTCCTTGCCTACCTTAAGCTGCAAGAATCTAAATCCCAAATTCCCCTTCCCTTAAGTTTATTAAAAATGTACTACATATTTCTTTCTATTATTTTACTTCATTCACTTGTCATTTTACACTTTTCTTTTCAGTGAAGTTAGTTTGAAATTGATTATTTGGAAGACTTGTGGGGTTTTTTTCCATGGGATTGATTCCTTCAATTCTTTTAGGTCCCCGTTCACGTCCAGAAGGCCAGCAAACTCCTGTTTGCTGAAGCAACAGAGAGACAAATCTCTGAGAGAGCAGAGGAAAGCAGAGACATGTAGCAAGTGGGTGAATGCCAGCAAACAGATGCCTGCCTGCTCTTCAGCCCACTCTAGCCCAGAAGGAAAGATAGCTAATTCCCAGTTTTTTTCTTTGACATAAAGAAAATACCTAGCTGATGGTAACCTGTCTTCTGCAACATGAAAGACATCATGAGCATGACTGGAAAAAGCTACAAACACAAAACATACCACTTCCCTCCTTCGCCAAAACCATCAGAGCTGCCCCCAAGGTTCCACTGCGGTCTATTTCATTCTGAGAACACCTGTATGGGTGACCAACCATCCAGCTCCATATTAATTCTCAACAACTGTGATTTTCAGTAAATACCCTATATGCTTTTTTGCCACTGAGCATTTAATTTTTAGTATAAAGGCTGCAAGTGTGTCAGAGGGTAAACACCTGATCAAAGACACCTGCAGCTGGGTGGGGGATGACACATTTTAACCTTGTTTCCTCTAGAGTCATCTTAGTACACCACAGAGCCCACAGCTGGAGATTTTAATTCTCTGGAAGCACATCATGTAATCTGGTTGAGATTCAGAACAGTTTGGGCATAGACTGAGTTCATGCCTGAGGATGCAACCAAGTGCTCAGTGCTGAGCCTGAGTCTACTGCTCACCTTACAGCTGCAGCAGATGGGATAACCTGGGAAGCGGTTCCCAAAGAATTTCAGGCACCTAAGCATTTCTAGTCTTTTTTCAGATGCCACCACTAGCTTTCAGCCCCAATGCAGTACAATGCTAGGTAAATCTAACATGAACACAGCATCTCCACAGAAGAATTACTGGAAATGAAGTAATCTAAAACTTACTGGCATAACTCCACTATAACGGACAATACTTCAAAAAGTGTTATCAGAAACTTTATACACAGTTGACTGCATGTCTTACCATGGCCAAAGACATTTTACTTTGATAAAAAAAAAAAGATACCTAATACTATGCTGGCCAAACAGACTTCAAATGAGGAGTGTCAATTTTTTTCAAAGCTCAAGCTGCAGGTGCTAGCTATACAACTGCAGCCTTCTCTGTAAAGCTTTAATCTCTTCAGTAGGAAATACAAGACACATTCATAAAATCAATTTTTTATTTTGATAAAATCCTTATAAATATCAAAGCACTGGATCAATTCCACTGATTTCAATATGTAAAAAAAACATGTGACACTTTTGTTTCTGACATGAAACAGTAGCCTTACTACTTTCTCTTCTGAGACAAACGAACTTTATAAGCTTCCTGCAATTTGTAACATTTCATTCATTTTCTGCAGCTACTCACATGACAGGGAAACATATCAGATCCAACTCTAAGTCTAAAGAAGGATGTAAAAACACACAATACACTCCCACTCTCTCCATGCACACTGTTCAGACATCCTCATTCAGAAAGAAACAACCTGAGGTCTCTTTAGTTGCATTCTTCTCACTATGCCAGAAAACAAAAAGTGCCTGCAGGTTTTCCCCCTTTGGTTAGTACTTGTACCTGCTGCCACTGCCAAATGCCTTTTATTTCCCACATGGTCTGTTTGTGTTTTCTTCAGAAAACATTTAGAAGGCATTGAGAGGCCTTGCAGCAATAGTAGCTATATTCTGTGGAGGAGAAAACAAAAAAAATCCACCTATTTTAAACTAAGCTAAAATATCTATGTGTTTATGTCTAATTCATTCAGTAATAAGATGTAAAAACTCAATCCTTAATGTGAGTCCCCTCATGTTTGTCTGTCTAAGATCAAAAGATCTGTTGAGGTAAAAGGCACAGTCTATAAAACCTACAAAAACCCAAATTCATGGAGAGTAGTCATGGAAGATGAGTTGGTCAGAAGTACTACAGAGCTTGGTGGTAACTCCTGGCCATGAAACCCCTCGCTGCCTCTTTCAGCTATCACTGGTTTTCACTACATAGCTCCCACAGTCTGAGGGGAAATCTAATCCTATATTAAGCTACATCCTATGGCAAGTTAATTAAAAACAATAACATTAAATTTGGTATAAACCAAACAATTCTATTCAGATAACAAAAGCTCCTGAGAAAATCACAGGCTCAAGTCAATTCATAAGGACAGAAATTTCAACACATTGCTATTAAGGGCTGATTTTTTTGGTGAGATATGAGCTTTGGCTTGCTCTGTCTCCTCCTTTTGGTCTTGGAATGTAAGTGCAATCACCCGAGTTCAACTGTGGCAGTCAGTACCTAGGAGACGTCACACACCTGAGTAGTGCTGTGCTCTGGTCTTGTGCTGTGCAAGAGGTGAGGCCTGCAGCAGGGGCGTCACACTGCGGCCTCCAGCCTGGCCACTACGGAGCGGTCTGCAGCAACAGCTACTGCTGCCTACGGAGCTCAAGTGGCAGGAGCCTGATGCTACACGGACACAGGGTTGCAGTCCCTTACTGTTCACTAAATGCAACAGACTGGATTTAGGAATGAATAGTTCCCTCTGTGCCCTTCCACCTTGCCGTTTTCAGGACAATTTCATCACTGTACATGGTGGAATTCAGGAATAACCTAAACTGCCTGACATGATCCTGCAATATACAAAATCCTTCCCATTTGCTTTTTAAATTAGAAACAATCAGTACATAATTACTTTTAAGAAGCAGTCAGAATAACAGGATCATATAAGTATTTCTTTTACTTGAATGCTGTCAGTCATTACTGCCTTTTGTAGGGAGGTAGGCAGGGTATTGTGGAAGTCATTAATGAAATTATATCAGCCTTGAAATATTTCTTTTCCTGAGCATTATAGTGTGTCGTTTACAGTGTAAAGTCTAATACAGAAGCTAAATGTTATGCTAGAGACCAGAAGAATAAACCCAAAACACCCTTTACTGCTATTAATATCAGGGATCCTGTTCAGTAATTTGATGGCAAACTGGACAACTCCTCACCACACCTGACCCTTAGGATTAGCATTGCCCTCTCTGCCATGCTAACGCCTCAGTGCTCCCATGTACTCAAACACAGTCAGACCTGTTAACGTTGAGGAACCTGCAACAACTCAGGACATACTTGCCTGTGAGAAATCACTGCATGGTACCCAATAACAAAACAACACAAATGTGTTAAAACAACTCACAAAAATGTTAAAAATCACAAAGTATATTAGCTATAAAACTTAATTCAGCCTTTGGTTTCAGAGGGAGACTACTCTGGCTTTACTCCTTCAGTTCCTCCTGACTTCTCGTCCCCTCAAGGGCTGTGGGGGTCGGTAGTTCCTCAGCAAGCAGCAGGCGGCCTCGTCCTCGGCGGTGCTCAGGAGGCTGCGGAACTTGGCTAGCTGCAAGCAAAACAGATGTACTGTTTAGCAGAAACCCCCCACGCCCATACTGCGAAACAGCACGTAGCAAATACTAGAGATACCTGTCACCTTCTCTTCCACCAGAAAGAATGGAACTGTATTTTTCCATGGCATGTAGGGAATGGCAATTTCACTGTTTCTGTCCTTACAAATTTAAAACAGCGACTACCAAGAAAATATCCCAAACCACGTGTCAGAATGAACTGTGTATAAGGATCATTTGTTTTGTATATTTACAGTTTGTCTTTCATAATCTGATCTAAACTGGAGGGGTTTATACTTCTTAGTTTGATTTTTTTACTTTAGGAGTATAGGAGATTCTGGAATGTTTCATGCGAAAAGTTAAGATTTCTTATGTACAGCTGCATATATCTTCTCATTCAAAGAGTATGTTCCCAATTAACCTGCAACAGTAGGTGTGGTGCTATAGAAAGCTTCTGCAACTAGCACTTTTCTTACATTAAACATGTACTTAGACCAGGAGAGATTAGAAATTTTTCCCTTATGCAGTCACAGAATAAGCAGTTATTCACACCTCAGCATAAGCTTCTCTGCTTAAGTTCATCTTAGCAGAAACCCAGATCAGATCTCCATGTCTGAACCTCAGGGAATTAGAGTCTGACTTCTGACCTGGAGTTTTGTGTTTTGTCTAATTTCTAATATTTCCAGGAGTTATTATTTCTATACATCACCTTACTTTACTTTTAGGTTACCAAAGGTAGGACAGCACAAAAATCCTTTCATTATAATACAGCATTTAGTTGTATTGCACATTGCATCTCAACTGCACTAAGAGCAAAAAAAAGTCAATACTATCTTCTTTGACCCCATTTTAAAGCTAATATTCGTAATTCAGGCTCTATGTGAGTTTCTAAAAACTTATTTTAATTTCTTTCAACCTGAAAAGTGCACCAAAAAGTAGGTAGCAAACTGTAAAACCCCAAAGAAATACAAATGTGAGGAGCAAGATTAAATGCCAAAACAGTATCACATCAGTGGATATTACAGGAAACAAACACTTTCAGCTATGCATGTGTTTATATTTATAAGGATGTAGGACATTTATACTTTAATACATAAGTTACAGCTACAGTCTGAAAATGTGACTAGTAAAGAATCACTGTATTTGGCATGGTTCTGACACCATGCCCTCTGAACCTGTTAGACATAGGTGTTTGCGTACAGTATTTAACATTTTAGATCTATTAATTATAGATTAGCCCCAGCGAGAACCTTTTAACCTGAAAAATGCCTTGTCTTTGGGAAGTCGATATCATAATACATATTTTCAGTCATAGGCCCATATGCACTACAAGAAGTCCTTCAAAGCCAGATTGAGGGGAGTAGGGAAGAGATGCAGGGGAGAAAAATGCACACATCGAGCACATACATGACTTCCTATCAGTTACAAACAGAATCTGAGGTCTCCCGACTAACAAGCATCCCAGTCAGTGAACTGTCTTAAAATTCTGTGCAAAGACTGACGTCATCATTTCTGCTGAGTATGTGGCCTAGGGTATTGAATTTTCTGGGGTATTTGTAATACTGACCATGAATGAGACCAGCATTGAGGTACAAAAATCTTAAGGGTTACAGTGTGCCCAGAATATTGACAACATACAGTAGGTGATGTACTTAACATCCAGTATTAGAAGCTATTTGACAGTGTCTCCAGTGGCAGCACTCTTTGTACCTGGGGTGATCAGCCCACTGGGTGTCACTGTTGCAGCATTAATACGTAGTACAGTGCTTAACATGAAATGTAAGTAGTCTTCTGTGTGGCATTACTTTTCCTAAAATAGCTTAGCATAAAACCCGACTTGTTACAATTGTCTTTTCTTATCATTAGTCTAATAAATTCACCAAGTCTTATATATCTGAAATGCAAGAAGAAATTTACTATTGATCTGCCAAATAAAACACCAGAGAAGACATTTGAGCAGGATATGCAAGTAATTGAAACAAATGGAATTCCAGGATTTCTAAGCATCACCAGAACCCTTTTTTTCTATAAGTTCCTTGTGGGTTATTTTTGCTTGTTAATTTTTAGAGTACACAGATTCTTTTTTTAAAAAAAAATGGGTAATAGCTGTTACACAAAGAAAGGCAACAAGAAGTCAGGATAAATTTCATAGACATATTTTGTCCTTCGGTAATTTGATAGGATATGCAATACCAAGGTCTGAAAAAACTGCATTTTTGGGTGGCATTTGGAATTTCAAGCCTTACAAAAGCAAAATTCAAAAAATACCTGTTCAGAACAAACACTTATGGGCTCTCTCAGAACAATCCAGATGACACTCTCAAGAAGGGGTGGAACGGTAAGAGAGCCAAAGTAAGTCCAGTAGTCCAGGGATTTGGGAAGCAGACAGCTAGGATCAAAGTTTGTGAATAGTGCTCTTTTACCCTAGAAAGAAAAAAAAACCAAACAAGCCCTAGCTCAATGTGATTCCAGATTAGATATATTTAGACATTTATTTCTTAAATAAAGTTAAAAAAAAAAAAAACAAACAAAAAATAAAATAAAAACAAAACAACAAGGCAACATCATTTAAAACAAGAGGCCAAGATAAACCATGCCAAAGGAGGTAGACCTCCATTGTGTTCCCTTGTGGGGCTGGCTGGCAGCATGCTGGATCATCACAACAGGTAAGCCAGTGCCCTTCTGATGAGGTCTCACCTCTGGATCAGCTTTGCTGCAGCTATTCTTGATGCCAGCAGGACACCATCAAAGCTGTCATGTTAGCCTAGGCCCCTTAATAGTTACAAATGACCATGAGATAAGAGGTTGGAGGGAGAGGTGAGAAGATGTTAGACTTTCAATGTGGTCTCTATGGGGCTGGCAGAGTAACACCACAGGCTACTGCCACCTGCTCCCTGCCCATTCACTCCTCCCTGGCCCACACATCACCACTTCTTCCCTCTGCTCCAACGACCAGGCCATAGGTGCCTGAATGGAACCTGATACTGTTAAGTCTGGCTGATTTCTCTCACACAAACAACAACTGATTTCTCACCCTGTACCTCGTCAAAACAGGGGAAGAAACCTTTCCCTCATCTTTTTCACAGCTTACCATAAAGTATATTATTTCCCTGTTCCCATTCTCCTAGCAACAGATTTGTCAGAGACTATGGTCTGTGACAAATTAGCCTTTTTCTTTCATCTCTTATTGTATAAAAATTATTCGTCTTGGTTTTCAACTTTCCTAACAGAAATGCTCCTAAACCAGAGTTAGATATGGATAGCTATGAAACTAGGCATTAGGGAACACAAAGGTGAAGGCAGTAGCAGCTAGGGTACAAAAAACAAACAAAGAAGCAAAAAAAACCCCAAATGACAAAAGCAACCACCAAGATCAGCATTCTTCCAGACTTGACTCTGCACCTTGACTCTGATGGTATCCAAGCGGTCAGTAATCTTCTTCAGCTGGGGGTTGCATTCCCCAATCTATTAATGCAAAAAGCAAATGCATAATGAAACTGTTTTATACAACTTCACTTTGGTGACTGTGAGATCTGATGGATTTTGTGAGTGCAAGCCTGTGACTAGCTGGTCCTTAGGAACAGTACTGTTCATAAAGAAGACACCCTCCCTTCCCAACAGGAATTATTCTGGCTACTCACAGTAATTATGTCAGCTACAAAAACCCATGAACTTTACACTGCAGGGGAATAAAAATTTATTTTTCACGTTTTTTATGTACAATATTAGAAGTTTCAGGCTTACATCTGAAATTTAAATTACTTAAAGCAGTGAAAGCATTGTTTTTGTTTAGGCCAAGCAGAACTCGTGTCCTAAGAAATCTAGTGAAACTTGGCTTGAATATTTTAAGGTAAACTGGAGAGCCAGAATTACAGAAGCAGTCCTTGGCAACTGCTGCACGGAGCGGCTTTTTTTATGTACAATATTAGAAGTTTCAGGCTTACATCTGAAATTTAAATTACTTAAAGCAGTGAAAGCATTGTTTTTGTTTAGGCCAAGCAGAACTCGTGTCCTAAGAAATCTAGTGAAACTTGGCTTGAATATTTTAAGGTAAACTGGAGAGCCAGAATTACAGAAGCAGTCCTTGGCAACTGCTGCACGGAGCGGCTCCCT